TTGTGTGGGCTCAGTACATGCCAATTGATCTGAGGTGCATGTGGAACCCAGAAGATGGCATCAAATCCCATGGGGCTGGAGTTGCAGGAGATTGCTCCCAGCCCTTTGCTGGTGTTTGGGAACAAACTCAAGTCCTCTACAAGAGCCGTTAGCATTTTAAGAAACGGAGCCACCCGTCCAATCCCAGGATAGCCATACTTCTATTCTTTGATGAACCCCAAACCTGAAACAAGTGCAGGCCCTTGGCAGATTCTACAGCTTTGCTGAGGAGTGAATCTCAGAAGCGGACCTCCTAAAAGTAAAGCCTAGAGAAAGAAGGCAGGTTGCTTATTGACATGACAGTGATCTTTTGTTGCATGTATGTGAGACACTCTATCCAGCTCAGGCCTGGAGCCCTCACTCCAGCCAAGTCCCAGAGCCCCCTTTACATCTAGGATTCACCAGCAAGTCTCTGGGAAAGTGCTGAAACCTGAGCCACTTTTGACATCACAGCTTTTGGTGTCAGCAGGGAGGGACCACTTAGGTAGAGGAAGTCTTGCTAGTTCTGCATGTCTGTTGCTTCCCATTTCTCACTCAGCCACGTCACAGCTATACAGCCATGGGAGCCTCCCCAGGCCACAGGCCCAAACTCTGACACCAGTATAAGGTCAGAACTAAGCAACCATGACTGTATGCACACAGATGTGACAAGAGAAGGCCACATCTGCAAAGGACCCAGAAAAACAAAAGGGTAAGTGCATCTGGATATTTAATCTTACAGATATTAAAAGGTAGCCATAGCATGGATGGTATGATGTTCTTTACAAGGTTCCCCATGGGTATATAGAATACTGTGCTGTATTTCTGGGTCTGAGGGTCTGTGGAGGGTTAGCCAGGGTGTCATAGAGACACCCTGGGGGATTTGTACATTGGGAATCATCAGAGATATGTCATCAGTACATTAAACATCTCAGCTCCTGCTGCATTTACTCTTGGCCTTTCTTGGACATGGTGTGCATGGCCATTGACAGAGCAGCCACCTCCCATCCTAAATCCCCTCATGTTCTGGCTGATCCCTGTGGTCTCTGATCACCAAGCAGCAGAGGCTTAGGGCAGGAGGCCTCTGCTGGTCAATAGAAAACCACGACAGAACAGTGAGGCAAAGAAACACCAGAATCAGAGCCCAGAGAAGGACACTTCAGTAACATACATAGTCCTTTACTTTTTCTTTCATTCATTGATCCTGTCAGTTACATCAGCATCTGGACTAGGATGTAGAAGGATGTTGTGAACAGGACCAGAACAGAGATCACAGTAAGCAACTTGTCCCCAGACACTGCTCCCAGGATACCAGGCCTCAGAGGTGGATCTGAGGCAGGAAAGCAGGGCTCTAGAGATTCCTCACACAGTAGTTAATCTTTCCATGACTCACATGCCAGGTCTCTGTCACAGACACTGGGAAGCTTGCAGAAGCGTCGTTCTGAAGATCAGAGTTATAAAGTGGACAAGGAGCAGTCTGGACTCCCTCCCGCTATGTTATTTCTCTGCCCTTCCCTTGGAGTCTGGCCTCCTGCAGGCCTGGTTCATACTCAGAGTGGTGGACCACTTTCTAGACAAGCTGATTGTGGGAAACAATAGAGATCTTGTATTTGCTCTGCCACTACAGCCTGAGCAGGGGTGGTGACTGTCACCAGGTAGATAGCAAACCAGCCACTCAACAGAGGTCTTTGTAAAATGTCACTTTCCACTGGCCTGATTGACTGTTGACTGGAGAGCCTTGTTCATAGTCTCCTGTGCTTTGGCTGTCTGTAATTTTATATTATTTTTTAAATCTCTGCCTTGCCTCCTCTTCTCCTCCCCAATTTCGTTTATTTTTCATTCTTATTTTGTTTGCTCGTTTGTTTTTCAAGACAGGGTTTCTCTGTGTCACCCTGGCTGTCCTGGAACTTGATTAAAAGTGGCAAAAACATAGAGAAGGGACCTATGTAGGGGTTGCCCACAGGTCCAAAGGGAGGGATCCCCCATCCCATCCCAGGACCTAGGGGGCAGCTGAGCTCACATTTCATCTCTTTGTTAGAGGCTTCCTGCTATCTTGTTGAGAAAGGTAACCTAGGAAAGGAACTCTTTGCCTTAAGTAGCTAGACTTTTCTAGAGACACGCATGGAAAAAGGAGCCCATCACATGTCTGAATTTCTGCTTTGCCGGCTTTAACCCTTCTACTGGGGACCATGCACCTAGGATGTGTAAGAATTAGAGAAGCTACCATGTGCCTGGCATTGTTCAGGTCTCTGAGGTCCAGAAAAGAAAGCAAGAGAAAATTCTGAAGTGTTCTTTAGGGTTCCAAAAGTGGTCTGTCTTGGTGAAAGTTCCACAGGACCTGGAGTCTCTGTATCTCAGTCATTGCATAAAGAGTCTTCTTGTGTCTATGTGTAGTACGGCTAATAAAAACCCAGAGACAGACATTTGGGGGAAAGCTGAAAGGTCAGAGAGGGGAAGCACCCGGGCCATTAGAGAGTGAACACCTTTACCAATGCTCAGACCGAAGCTGAGGTCTACCCAACCTCAGATTGCACTGCCCTCCACCAAATCTCAGACTCCCTCAGAATGCAATCAGCTCCCATCTCCTCCTGCCTTCATTTTTCTCTAGTGCTGGGATTAAAGGCATGCTATCCCAAGTGCTGAGGTCCCCTTTGTGTGAGCCCTGTTTCTCTTTTAGACTGGATCAATTTCGTGTAGTCAGTGTGACCTCAAACTAACAGAGATCCCTCTGCCTCAGACTCACATGTCCTGGCATTAAAGGTGTATACCATTATTGCTTGGCCTCTATGGATACTTTGTGTGTCTGTTGGGACTACAGATGTGTACCACCACTGCCTGGCCTCTATGTGAGTGACTAGTTTTGCACTCTGGCCCACAGGCAAGCTTTATTTATTATACCATATAAAATATCACCACAATGATGTTATTTTTTCTGGTTATGATACAGACTGCAACTAGACCACTCCTTATTTTCTGTCTGCTGTGTCCTTTTCTATAGACAGGAGCTAACATGGTTTTTACCTTACTTTTATTTTTAAGCATTTCCAGTTACACTGAAAGTGATTGGATGCTCTGCTAGCCCACGCTTAGACATTACAGACTTCAATAGTGTCTTCTAGGGATTGAAGACATTCAACGTAAGGTATTGCCCAATATGTGTAACGTCCGCACCCTTACGAACATTGGCCTACTTTCTATCTGAAATCAAGAGATCTAGTTGAAATTTCTTTGGACTGGCATCAATATAGCGGTGCCTTGAGTATCCTTTTTACTTCTGTTCATTTAGTTACTTAGTTTCCATCACTTTCTCTGGAGACTGTGTTTCAGAAGGCCCAGAATGACCTTGAACTGGCAACAATCCTTTTGACAATGCCTTCTGCGAGGTGAGACTGATGTAAACATCTGGGGCTGTCAGAAACCAGAGCTGGACTCCAACAACTTAAGTGAAGAAACCACAGAGATCCACGGGCAGGCCAATGACATTAACACTGCCTTCAGTGACAATAGATATGCAGGCTGAAATACACTCCTGAGAACAGGTGTAATACCCTGTAGAAGCAAGGGCCCAAACATCTCTTTATTGCATATCAGACTCAAGCCTGAGCAGGCTGACTGCCAGTAGGAAAGAACAGTACAGACACTAGAAAAAGGCCTAGGACTTTCTGAAGGGGGGTTTTGATCATGGCCTGGTGAAAAAAGCAAGATAACACAGGTGAGAAGTGATAACGAGGAGGCAGAGGGTGGACTGAGAAACAATCGCATGTCCCAGGCCACGTGTGGCTCCACACAGGCTCCATCCGTCATTACAGGAATCGGCACAACAAGCACGAAGGCTATCGTTAATGGAATGAGCACATCACACAAGGACACTTTAAGGTTCTGAGCCTTAAATTTCTCCATCACATTTTACTCATCTTTTGCACACAAATCAGTGGCCTAGCCTGGCAAGAAGCCGCGCAACCCTAAACAAACCGTACTTTCAAGAAAGAACCATGAAGTGCAGCTCAGTGAAAACTGCAGTTCAATCAGGGATGGAGGTTCCCCAGGATAGTTGGTGTTGGGGCAGGAGGGATGAGTGCAGAAGACACAGAGTTAAGTTGGGGATGGGGATCGTTGCTGGATCCGGGCAGGACTGGACTCATCACCTGCTTACACTGTGCACCCATCAGGGACACATGATCAGAGTCAGATGAAGAAAGAGAAGAAACCAGCTGTTGAAGCCAAGTGGGAAAACAGGAAAGCAGAACAAATCCTATATGACTCAGCACCACATGAAGGCTGCTGTCTTATCCTGTAGAAGAAAAGAATAGGGAAGAAACTCAGATAGGTGCCTTTAAATGGTGACATTCTGAACAGCCCTTCGCATGCTCAAACTGTCCCAATCCTGAGTATCCGGCCCCCAGGGTTCTATCCTCTGACTGACCATTCCTGTCCTACACCAGGTTCTTAAAGGTGTTAGAGAAGGCTGGACATCCTGAGAATTTACCTCCCAGTGGAAACTGAAAGAACAGCAGATCCAATCCTCTGAAGATGGAACTAAAAGAGGAGGTATGGGCTGCCTGATAATCTCCATGGGCTCCTTCATGTACTGCCACAGGTGTCATAGGGATTAATCCCCTGGTAATTAGTGGCAAGGCTGAACCTAGATGTCTTTTTAAGCACTGGGAATAAACCCTTTTGCAGCAGGATCTACAGGGCTTAGGAGTCTCCTGATTTGTATCCCAGAGAAAACTGCAGAAGATTGACTGCAGATCCAAAGCTAGAGAAGGAAACATGATTGAAATCTGTACATGAAGAGGACTAACTGGATATCTGTTATAAGTAGAGATTTCCCTTATTAAATCTGAGAGCTGAGAACCAGTTTTCCACAGCCTCTATCACTGTGGTGATGAATTATTATTTCCTTTGTTTTTCATTATGGGGTTAATTTCAGCTCATCAACACAAGACAGAATAGGCCACTGTGTGGATGCAACTTTGCTCTCACATGTCAGGGCACATTCTCAGCGGGGCTTGGTGTTCCCACAGAGACAAGAACTCAGACCCTGACCCTTTCTTACTTTTAGTCCTCCTCTTCCATATGAGAAAAGTCACCACAGCTCCCATTAGCACAGCTCCAAGACCCAGGCCAATTACAATTGTCATGATGGGGACAGGGAGCTGAGGAGGGTCTGTGGGAGGAGTGGAAGGAACAGTGAGTCCTCTGACCTCCAGCTGTCAGTCATCACCCTGCTCCAGTTCCCCAAGGACTCCCACTCTCACTGTGAGAGGCTCTGTGATCACACCCAGTCCTTACCCCATCTCAGGGTGATGGGCTCAGGCAGCCCCTCATGATTCACATGGCAGGTGTATCTCTGCTCCTCCCCAGGAGGCACCACCACAGCTGCCCACTTCTGGAAGGTCCCATTCCCTGAAGGCCTGGTGTCCATCACCTCCACGTCCTGTGTCTGATTGTCCCCATCCCTCTGCCAGGTCAGGGTGATGTCAGCAGGGTAGAAGTCCAGGGCCCAGCACCTCAGGGTGATTTTCCCATCAGTGCTGGCATTATGGGTCACATGTGTTTGGGGAGGGTCTGAGAGAAACAACGGAAAAATTAAGCATTTTTGCATTCTACTTGTGCTTCCAGAAAATCTCGTATGATAATGTTTGGGATGGGTGTGAGAGTGCAGACTCCACATATCAGCCTAGGGGCAGGACATGAATAGGACAATACATTCCTGGGAATCTACGGTAATCAACACAGACCAGGAGGAGCCTTTAGGTCTCCCTCCAGGATATAGTCTGTTTCTGACTGGATGAGGACAGAGAGACTCAGCAATACTGGAGTGAGACCATCACACTCATGGTGTGTGTACAGGGAACTGGTCTGTGAAGAGTGTGTGAGCCCTAGGAGAGCCCCTCTCTCACTTTGAATCAGGAAACCCAGGAATACTCTTGCAACTCTGTTGCAAGGCAGAGTCCTTGTCCCAGCTGTTCCCTATTGAGGACTCCTCAGGGGACAGGAGCTCCAGTGCCAGAGCAGACAGACCAGTTAGTTCCCTTTCTTACCTGTTCTCAGCAAAATCTCCTTCCCTTTCTCCAGATGTTTCTGGAGAATCTCCACACAGGTTTCCTCTAGGTATGTCCTCAGTGATTCTGCAAAGTCCCATATTTTCCATTGGTACCTGATGATTTTTGCTGCCTTGCCAAACGCTGTCCAGGTGCTCAGGTCCTCATTCAGGGCAATGTAGTCACGGCCATCATAGTTTAATTCGTAGTATCCGCGACGGAAGTACCCTCCAAGCAGCACCGAACATCCATGCATCATCTGGACCGTGTGATATCCTAGCCAAACCCCCACTCTCAGTCATGCCCACAGGCCAAGACCCTTGATAGGCCCCTCTATTTGGTGGGCCCAGCCCATTGGACTTTTCTAATCCCTAGATTTGGACTTCAGCTATGCAGAAATCCAGGCAGTGTCCCATGGCTCTCTGGAGCCCATTCTCTATGGGCCACATTTTCTGAGGGTGAACATCAGACATGGTGACCAGGAGCAACCCCATGGGGAACTTGAAGGTTGGGATTTCTGACTGGAGTTCACTCACCAGTTTTGTTCTGGTTGTAGATGTGCAGCACTGCGTTCAGCTCTTCCGTTAATTGCTTTGTGAGATTCAAAGCTCTCTGTGTCTCATACTCCCAAAACTCTGGCTTCTCCTGATGCATCCACGGAGCACGGGGTTTCATCATTGGCTTGTCTGCTCTGCTGTTGTATCCCATGAACAGGGTGTCATCCACATAGCCAAGATGGGTGTACTGGTACTCCACGAAGCCGCCCCAGGTTAGGAGGGTTTGGAAAAACAGCATTGTGTGTGAACCTAGGTGAAGTGGGCCTTTAGATCCCTACCTTCCTACTAAGATCCCATGCTGGTGCAAGGGGGCTCTAGTTGGGTGGCTTCAGCAGGAGTTAGGGGTCAAAAAGTATTATATAGAAGGGAACAGGCTGGTCTAGTGGGATAGAACGGAGACAAGGTTCCCTGAGATGCTACCCTAGGGTAGGAGTCCTTTTGCTGCTCTGGGTTAGGTCCTTTCCCTCCCAACATCAACACTCACCCTCTAGATGGTTGGTCAGGGCCAGCTTGGCCAGGAGTATTAGGAAGAGAACCTGGGGTGCAAGGGTCTTCATCCTGTAGGATGAGTGCAGACTGAGTCTCTGCTTTGTCTGCTCACAGTACAATCTTGATGTGGAGGAGTCTGATTGGCCTCTCAAAGAATTCCCAAGGGAAGTGAAACAGACCTTTTGGATTGGGCCATGGAGAGATGAAAACCTGGAGGAGGAATCTCTAGGGCCCTGCTTCTTCTACTCAGATCCATCTCTGTGTCCTGGCATCCTGGGTGCCGTGCTGGAGGACAAGTTGCATTATCTGATATTTGTTCTGCTGACCCTGATCACAACATCCTTCTGCATCCAGCTCAGCCTTTGAGTCAGCATTCCTCCAATATGTCCATGTCTTGATGTCTACATAGGTTAGAAATTTATTTGCTCTCCGAGGCAGTCATGATCATGTACATTGTATCAATCTAAGTTCATCATGTTAGGAACTGGGAATTTTAGAGACAATTCTCAACCGAACATATTAATAACAAGTGCATAGAAGCAGAATATTTACAAAAAGTAATGACTATTTTCCAAAGTATAATCATATAGTGAGAAGACATTTACATTCCAGCCTGTCCTTAGCCTCATCTTCACCACTGAAAGTCGCTCAGATTCTGATTTAACTTTTTATCATATCTGTTTTATTTACAAAGTGCAAAATACAGCTTCACAGAAATATGTAGAAAGTTTTTTTAAAGAAAAATTGCAGTTTGTGCTATGTGAATGTTTGTGTGTGTATGTGCGTTTGGGGACTGCAGTTTTCTCTAGAGGTTAGAAGAGGGTGTTAGAAACCCTGGAGGAGGATGCATAGGAGTTGTGAGCTCCCAGACTGCTGGAACTCCAGCTCTGGTCCATTTTACAGATTAGCCATCTCTGTAGGCACAGCGGGGATGCTTGTATGAAGGACTTCAGATCCTTTTCCTGTCTTTTGAGGCTGATATACTACTCACAGACATCCACAGTCTCTTCCTCTCCAGTGCTGAGCTGAAGGCATGGGCCATTTTCCTGGGCTCATTGGGCATACTTATCTTTGATATTTCACTAGGTTCGCACATGTGGTCCCTATATTCTAGACAAGACATCACTGAATCAATCCTTCATGACCTGCTGCATCCACGTGAACAGCATCTCGGGTCTCCAGCTCATATTAACCAACCAGATATGTATGTCTGCTACTCCTAACTCCCCTCATCCACATAGAGAGTATGGCATACCAAGCACATATTCCCATATGAATGGTGTGTGGCCAGAGTCGAGACTCTGCATTCACACACACACACACACACACACACACACACACACACACACACACACATACACACACACACTACACCACACACACACACACATACACACACACACACACACACTCACCATGTATAAAACTCTTTGTTCTTCCCACCATGTAGTTTATTTCAACTTACTTAAGAAGTCTTTATAGTTTTCACAATTATATAAAATTGAATTGATTATATCTTCTCCAACACTCCCTGCAGTCCCCTACTGCAACGTGAAGCTCTACACTTTCTTGGGAGAATTTTACCAGGATGAGAGAACGGCAATCCCTCACCATATCCTTGACCACGTCTGAGGGCTTACACACCTCTCTGGTGCAGTTTGTGGTAATATTAACAGGTGAGATTTGATAATATTTGCTTAAACGAATGAACACTGGAAGCATTCTAAACTTGATTAACAATATGCTACGTTTTAAAAGTAACATTCCTTTAACACAAAATATACTCAATGCACAGGACTTTCCTTTGGTCGTGGGTGCAGCAAACTGTGGAAGATTCAATGATGTTTCAAGGTCCTGAGGTAGGAATCACTATGCTAATCTAGTGAAGTATCAAAGGAAGAATTCTCCAACGAGCCCAGTGTGGTGGCTTGTGGCTTTAATCTCAGTACTCAGGAGGCAGTGCAAGGTCTGTGAGTTCCTGGCCAGCCTGGAAAAGAAAGA